TTAACTTAAATTTAATTTAAAAAATCAGTGAGCCACCTCAAGACGTTGAGTAAAAAATTATTTTTTTATTTCAAAAATTTTCTTTTTTTATAGGCTACAAATTCCACCCCCAGGCTAAGGAAAAAAAAAATTTTTTTGTTTTTCGCTCCACCCTAATATATATATATATAAATATATATAAGGTGCAAAATAATATGGTTATTTTTTCTGTTGAAAAAGGAGTAAGATACAAAGACAACTTAGGAGAAAAAAAGTTGTATTTTAGTGGCCTAATGGTAAAAAAAATTGCCTCCCGGGACTCCACTGGACAATTTTATTCTAGTTAAAGCAAAGTTAGCTCCTTATCGGTATAAAAAACGATGCCAAATGTCAATAAAATCTGGTGTCAATTTTCTTCAAAATGGCTTGATTTTTCAAAAAATATGAAGACGTATTTTTTGTTAACTTTAAAAAGGTGCAAAATAATATGGTTAAAATTTTTTCTGTTGAAAAAGAGGTAAGATAGGTAGACAATTTAGGAGAAAAAAAGTTGTATTTTTAGTGGCCTAATCGTAAAAAAAATTGCCTCCTGGGACGCCACTGGACTTGACATTTTTAATCTAGCTCCTTATCGGTATAAATAATAATAATGTCAAATGTCAATAAAATCTCCAGCCAAGCATTGATGCATGTATGTACTATTGCGGCCGATAAAAAGTAATCGACTAATTTTCCCGTTGTAAATATGGTTGTCACCAGTGCACTGAAAAAAGTCTATGTGTTATTACACAACTTCTTCTGTATTTATTACAGAACTGTTTCTGTAAATTATTATTTACGTTAAATACAATGTGCATTTACACAATATTTCGGAAATATACAGAGTTCAATGTATTTGTACAATATATCCTTTATATTTACAGAGTGTAGTTTAACTACTCATAAAAATTATTGTAATTTTACAAAGTAATTTGTGACAACACAAGCATTCTGTGATTTTAGCGCTTGCTCTGTAACTTTACAGAATCAACGTAATAAACTGACCAATCAGAGAACTGTATTCAGTGTCTTCCCAAGTAACATTTTTAGTTTTATTATGGTCTTCAAGAACGCTTTAAAACAAAATTTTGTTTTAAAGCGTTCTTGAAGACGATATTAAAACTAAAAATGTTACTTGAGTTGTTATCGTTTATCTGCGTTTCTGTGAAAAGTATAGGTAAGTCAATACCTTAAATTATGCACCTATATGTACTTAATATTTTTATTAAAAAATAGTACATGCTTTTATAGTAGGTACAATTGCAGATACCCGTTTTTTTAACTAACCATATAAATTTGGTAAATCGTTGATTAGTGCTTACAATCTCAAAACTTATTGACAGCAAACGACACGAACAATTACCAAGTAAAGATTGCTTCTAAGCCTAGCATTTTTTGTTGTGTTTTAGCTAATTTTCTAAGGATTTCACCGTCAAGCCGTTTTTTACTCTGTTAGGAGGTGCATTGTTTACGTTTCCGTCGACCCACAATACATATGTTTACCTATAGGTACTTTTTAGGGTAATTATTATTAAAATAATGATAATAATATGATATGATGATATAAATAATATATACCATGGTATATACCATGTTACTTGTTACATTTTTACTAAGTAAGTTTTACTTACCTGCCAACCTTTTTTATTTATTTTGTTAATAATAATATCACTAAATATAAAGTTTTATTTAGAACTTCAGAACTGGACGTTGCAGTTAACGCCAAAGTTTGTTTATTTTTATTTAGGTAAAGCAGTTTACAACCTACTTTTTAAGAGTTTGAACTCTTGAAAAGTATATAATTAAAAACTATACTGATTTAATCAGTTGTACTCTTAAAAGGTACTAGCAGTAATTTTAAGGTTGTAAGCTGCTTCACATATATAAAAATAAACAAACTTTGACGTTAATTGCTAGGTCCAGTTTTGAGGTTCTAAATAAAATTTTAAATTTACTAATTTAGTATCGTAATTTTACATAAAATTTGTAGACAGACCTAAAGTAAAATCACAGTATTTTGAAATATTACAGTAATGTTTACGTAACTATTTTACATAAGACCTGTAAAATTACGTTATGCACCTATTACAGAAATTCTGTGATTTTACTTAACATATGTAATCCTTACAAAGCTACTGTAATTTTACTGTACAAAATGCAGGCAACAAATAACCCACATTTGGTTCAGTAAATTTACAGAAATCCTTTTTTCAGTGTGGCATTTTAAAAATAATTTTATAAAATTAAGTAACGTCATCTTAAATTAAGTAAATCTTAAATTAAGTAAAGTCATTATTTATTTATGCCTTACCATACTTTAAGTGAAGCAGAGAAAGGCTATATTATCGCCAAAATTGGAGAAGGATGGCCTCGACAACAAATAGCAGATGAAATAAACTGCAGCAAAAGCGCTATTCAAAAATTAAACAAAAAGTGGGTGGAAACTGGTGACCAGAGTAGGGTAATGGGTTCTGGGCGTCCAAGAAAGACAACTCCAGTAAACGACAACATGTTGGTTGAATATGTGAGGCAAAACCCATTTTCTAACTCCATTCAAGCCAAAGAGGAAACCAACTTCCCAGCATCTGTTAGGACGGCAAGAAAACGGTGGCGAGAACAAGGTTTATTTAACTGCGTGAGAGCTAAAAAGCCTCGCTTCCCTGCTTAAAATACCCCATAGAGACCCTGTTCAAACCGATAGATATTTGTATCAGGATGTATGGTGTTTCTATAGGGTGTATCGGTATGTATATGACCCATAGTTGGGATTTATGATTGTTCTATAGGGATATCCACCCTTGATTTATTTGCTATTGGTTTCTATGCGGAAAATACACATAAATTTAGAAATAAGTTTTTCCCCCATAGAAACCCATAGGTTTTAATAAAATTTTGTCAAATGTTTTATGGTTGTTCTATAGGGATATCCCTATATATCCTTCATTGAGTTATTTGCTATCGGTCTCAATAGGGAAAATGTAAAAGTTTTGGTGTGTCTATAGGTAATTTCCTTTAAATTTTCTATCGGGCCGTAGGTAAACTACCCAGTTGTTAGCACTATACCCAGTTATTGGCACTCGGCATCTAAAACCGCTATAATATAGTTTGTGTTAATCAGACGATTTAAATTTCCCGCGTGACAAATTCCAACTTCTATGACGCATCACCATAATTTAAGATCTGTCTTCTGCGCCGCCCGAAACAGGTTCTGAATTAGACTTAAAAAGCAGTGTTACAAGTTCCAGTGATTTCTTACGGTTTTTGTTAAGGTGAGTTGTTTACATAAACATTAATAACTATATTATTTATTTGTATTCTATTCTGTAAAATGTTATTAAAGGAATTACATATTCACATTAATGTTTAAGGTAAAACATAACCTCATTTTGTATTAAAATAAAAATATTGTGAGAGGGCCGACTACTGGGGTAAAAAAATCGATATTATGCTAGTTATTGGCAACAGTGCCAACTACTGGCTAAGGCAAATATTATGTATTTCCAGTTATTGGCATAGCACTTATTGCTTAAAAAACTATGAAAAAATTTAAATAAAAACTGAATTATTTCAAAATTATTTAGTAATTCTAAATTTATAATATATTACATTGTATTAGGTATTTTATGAGATATTTTTATTTTTTAACAAAATGAAGAGTACCTAACTGCCATTGTTTTATCTATTTTGTTGAGTAGATTTTGATTTAGGAAAAGAGGTGCCTGATTATCGTTGTTTTTTTCAGGTGTATAATGCCGAAAGTAAAAAAAGGTAAATCTTACGTAAAACGTTATGACGAAAGAAACATCGATGAAGCAATTGATGCAATCAAACTTGGTATTTTAAGCTTTAGGACAGCAGAGGCAGTAACTTCTTCTAGTGGCCAGGTTTCTGAAAAAGACATAAAGGGCTGGTTTCAAAATATTGAAGGCTACCTGAATGAAAAAGGCTTATCAGACCTTCTTCTGGATCCATCAAGGATTTATAATGGAGATGAAACTGCATTTTGCTTTAATCCAAAGCAGTCTAAGGTAATTGCACTTAAAGGGAGCAAGGATGTTTATGAAGTTGATTCTGGTCCAGCTAAACTAAATCTAACGGTCATGTTTTCGTTTAGTGCTAGTGGAGACACCACACCTCCAATGATTATTTTTCCTTATAAAAGAATGCCTAAAAGTATTGTAGATACGGTTCCAAATGGTTGGGGCATTGGAAACAGCGAAAATGGATGGATGAAATCAGAACTTTTTTACGAATACATTGGTAATGTCTTTTACAAAAGTCTTGTGAACCAAGGAATTATTTTTCCAGTAATTTTATTTGTTGATGGCCACAAAACACATATGACTCTTCAATTAAGTGAACTCTGCACTAAATAACAAATAATCCTAATAGCTTTGTATCCAAATGCAAAACGCATTCTACAGCCTGCAGACGTTGCAGCATTTAGGCCAATAAAAAATGATTGGAAAAAAGTTGTATTAGAATGGCGACTACAAAATCCAGGAGAACAGTTGTCTAAATTTACTTTTGGATCACTATTAAAAAAAGTTGTTGATAATGTAAAGGCTTTAACAATCAAAAACGGATTTCGTGCTTGTGGCTTATTTCCCTGGGATCCCAATGCCTTAGATTACAGAAAATGTTTGGGTAGAATAAAAAATAACCAAGAAACCAATGACATAATTAGCATCGATGAAGGGGCGTTGACTTGTCAACAATTCTGGGCCATTGTTGGAGAAGAAACAGTTGATAAATTAGGGGCTGTTAAAAACGAAGAAGTTTTAGAAAATAACTTTAAAATTTTATACGAGTTATGGAAAATTGTAAACAAACAAAAAGTACAAAAAAATATAGAAACATCCCGACTTAACCAAAAAAAAAAGGAATATTCTGAACAAATACTCTTATCAGATTCTGTCACAAACAAATCAGATGCTGATGCTGATACAATAAACAATTCTTATAGTAACTTAAGATCAACAATGCAAACAAATATTGAAGATGGAGTAAGTACCTTTAACATAGAAGATATTCCTATAATCATAGTACCTGAAACAACAGATTGGCCAGAAATAATAATTGATGAAACAATTCTTTCTCTCGAAAAAAATGACCATAGTAATTTTAAACCCTCAGAAGATAGTACCAATGAAATAAGAAATTACCTTACATGGCCCGAAACACCCCACAGGAAAAACAAGAACCCTAAGAAAGGTACAGAAAAGATGCCATATGTTATCACTTCAAGTGGATGGAAAAAAATATTTTGTGAAAAGAAGCTCACCAAAGAAAATATTGAATTGGAAAAAGAAAAACGACTTAAACTCAAAAGTATTAAAGAAGAGAAACAAAAAAGCGCAAAAGCCAACAAACAAAAAAAGAAAATAAATAAAAGTAAATTAAAAAATAACGAAAATGACGCAAATGATAAAAATGAAATGGAACTAGAAAACAATAAAGAAAACGATGGAATTAAAGAAAATTGTAAGAATCCAGAGGGAAATAACAATAAAAAAATTTGTATTATTTCTGACTATAAAATAGAACCACAGTGCACAATTATTAATAAAAAACTGCAACCACAGAAACCATCACATGTAAAAAAACCTATTTAAAAATAACGAAGATCTGGACACACCAGAGGATACTGAAAGTACAGTAGAGCCAAACATATACAAAGTAACTTCAGGATTGTGCTATACATGCTGTTTTAATATTAATTCTGAAAGTTTTGGTGTAAAGTGTATGAAATGTCAAATAAGACAATATCATAAGATTTGTCTACAAAAATGCTATACTAATTTTGTATGTGAACCTTGCAAGAAAACAAACAAATAATGTTAAATATTATGTTTTAATAGCCTACTTACCAAATAGGTATTGGTATTTATGATAACTACCTAGTTGTTTTTTTAATAAAAATATGTTATTTAATTTAAACAAGAATGAATTAGTTAATTACCTACAAAAATATTAATAATGGCAATATGCCAATAACTGGCATATTAATATGCCAATCACAGGCCTTAAGGTGCCAATAACTAGATTTTTTTACTATTTTGTATTTTTATTTATTTTTAAAAATTTGTAACTTTTATTTTTTACTACTAATAAATGCTTATAAATAATCAATATACCCGGAAACATAATACAAAAGCAAAATCAACCTTTGGTAAGTTTTATATACAAATATATCCATACTAACTTGAGGAAATAGTTTACCCCCGGAAAAAAACATGGACAAATGCACATATTGAATCCGGTAGCGCCCGATAGATTATTTTATATAGGTCTCTATGGGGTATTTTAAGCAGGGTTGACGGATGTTAATAAAGAGGCAAGAGTGGAGTTTGCAAATAATTTTTTAAATCAAAACGCTGAATATTGGGAGCGAGTAGTCTTTTCAGATGAAAAAATATTTCAATCCTGCTACAATGGGCAACTGCGAGTTTATCGTCCCAGAAACCATAAGTTTGATGAAGAATACATCCACAAAACTGACAACAGCGGAAGATTTTCTGTCCACGTGTGGGCGTGGATATCATCTTCAGGGGCTGGTATTTATAATTATAATTCATATTGTAGAAGGCCGATTAACTGGGAACCGATACGTGGAAATTTTAAACGATGTAATGCTCCCGTCAGTGCAAGAAAGATTTGATAATGATTTTGTGTTTCAACACATAACACTTAATGATTTATCTTTCCTGATCAATAAATATATTTTTTTCATTTTAAGGATAACTCGCCAGTTCACACTGCTCATGTGGTTTATAATTGGCTAGAAGAAAATCACATTACAACGCTTCCTTCGCCGTCAAGAAGCCCCGATTTAAACCCAATCGAAAATATTTGGGGATATCTCGTTAAAAAATATATAAATATGAATTTAGACCAAAAAATAGAGAAGACCTTATTAATGCAATTCAAAATTAGTGGAACAATTTGGAAGAAAATTACGATATGCAAAATTTAATTAGTTCCATGCCTAGGAGATTACAAAATGTTATAGAGAAGAATGTTGGTTCTACCAAGTATTAATTATTTTTTTTTTAATGGAGTTTTTATAGCATTACCAATGTGTAAGATTATGTAAGATAATGCCCGAGGGAGGGCTGAATGAAAAAATTGCCAGGGCCGGTTTTTCTGAGCCCATCCAACCCTGGTTGGCTCATCTTTTATAATTTTTATAGTCGTAGTATACTACTAAGTTTAAATTTATTTATTTTGGTCGCCCAATAAATAATTTGTTCTTTTTCTTTGTATTACGAATAAACATGCTTTATATAATTTAAGTTTTTTTTAGGAAAAACATGCAACTTGATAAAGAATCGATTACTTTTTATCGGCTGCAATAGTACATATATATTAGACTGGGCCAAAAGAATCAACTATTTTTGGGGTGACAAAAAAAAATTATTGTGAAAGTTTGAGTCCATAATATTAATATTAAAAGGTCTATCATCGCAATTTTATTTTTTTTCCTCAGCAAGTTTTTGTCTCAGAACTCCCAAACCATTGAGTTTAACAAAATTGACTTAAAAATATTAATTAAAAATTAATATAAATTAAATGCTCTACAAAAAAGGTTAAAGTGAAATTTTCCGTCAGATGAACCGTTTCCCTAAAATCATGCCTTAAAAATTGGTATAGTTTTACATTTTGATCTTTTAAATTGGAATTTTGTAATTCATGTAAAAATCAGTACCCATAAAAAACCGATAAATATTCTTATGGGAAATCAAATTCCTTACAAAAAAAGCCTCTTAACATTTTTGGCTAAATTCACTCAATCAAAAGTTATTCAAGGTTAAAATTTGGTTTTGACTTCAAATTTAACCTTGAATAACTTTTGATGGAGTGAATTTAGCCAAAAATGATAAAAGACTTTTTTGTAGAGCATTTGATTTCCCATAAGAATATTTATCTTTTTTTTTCGGGAACTGAATTACATGAATTACAAAAAAAGTTAAAAGATCTAATTGTAAAACTATACAAATTTTTAAGGCATGATTGTAAGAAAAAGGTTCATCTGACGGGAAATTCCAATCAAACCTTTTTTGTAGAGCATTCAATTTTCTTCAAAAAATATTCCTACGTCAAATTTGTTAAACTCAATGGTTTGGGAGTTCTGAGACAAAAACTCACTCAGGAAAAAAAATCTAAAATGGCGATGATAGACCTCTTAATATTATTATTATGGACTCAAACTTTCACCATAATTTTTTTGTCACCCCAAACAATATTTTCGATATACTTTACAAAAAAAAATAGTCGATTTTTTTGGCCCAGTCTAATATATATATATATATATATATATATACAGGGTGTTTCAATAAAAACTCCCAGGCCAATTATTTCGAAAACTAAAAGTGACATTTAATTTCTGTATCGCCAGTTTTTAGCCTCTATGATAGGCTTCACAACTGTGTAAAAAATGTGTTTGAATAATGCAAGATGTAGGTGGCGACACTGTGCAAAGAATTTTTTCGATGGCATGTACTTTTAAATTAATTTTTGATCAAATTATATCCCATACAAATTTTTGATAAATCCGACATGAACGGAAATATTTGGGGTTAAGTTTCTTTTTTAATAATTTTAAAGAGTATTTTAATTTGAAATATTTTTAATATCCTTTAGCAGAATATTAATTTAATTTTGGTAATGATAATTTTAGTGATAAAACGCTCGTGTAGCGCTAACTAGATTAAAAATATTAAGTCCAGTGACGTCTCAGGGGGCCCTTTAACAAATAGTATTGGCAAAAAATAATACGCCACTGAGTTTCTGGTAATTTTTATATTTTTTTCGGAATAAGCAACTAAAAATATCCTTTTTCTGAATTGCTTTTTTTGAATTGCTTCGTTTTCGAGAAATAAAATAAAACCATTTCACTGCATATCTCTGGAAAACAATAGTCATTAAATAAATGAATGTTAGAAACATCACTTCACTCAATGTCAGTGTCAATGTAAGCAATTTGTACAAGTACCTGCCATCGAAAAAATTCTTTGCACAGTGGCGCCACCTACATCTTGAATTATTCAAACACATTTTTTACACAGTTGTAAATCATAGAGGCTAAAAACGGGGGTTTACAGAAATTAAATGACACTTTTAGTTTTCGAAATAATTGGCCTGGGAGTTTTTATTGAAACACCGTGTATATATTAGGGTGTTAAAAAAACAATTATTTTTTTAATGGTGTTGAAAAATTAATAGAACATTAAAAAACTAAAATTTTGGGGCATATTTGAGCCCTTAATATTAATATTAAGGTTTGCCTCAATTCATTTGTTGTATTTCCATTTCAATAACACGGGAATTTTTATTTTTTTAATTTTGAATTCTTATAACTTTCGAATGGTTTGTTTTCGCAACACCCAAGCGAGAGGAGTTATGGAAAATTTCACGCTCTACAAAAAACATCTGAAGGTCAAAGTTCTTCAGATCAACCGTTTCAAAGATATCAGCGATCAAAAAAAAGATTGTTTTTTTAAACACCCTAATATATATATATATATATTAGGGTGTCCCTTATTTTTATTTTTTTTACGCATACCCTCTAATTATATTTATTACGTGTTTATATACTCCCAGTAAAAATTTCAGCTCATTCTATAAACGGGAACCCGTGCCAACTTGCATCTGAACCCTCCGTTAGCCAACGTTAGGCGCGCGGTATTTTGTAACACGGTTGGTCGCGAGGTCTTCGATCGTAAGTCATTTTGTGTTTGTTATTATGTGACCCTTATATTATAAATTATTGACAAATGGTAAAATATAGTTTTATAGTATACTTTGATAAAAATGTATATTTTCACAAGGAGTGGCTAGTTACCCGGAACGGTCTGGTGAATAGGCCGTAAACTCTAAAATTGATAAACTTAATGGGTTTTACTCTAAATTACTAAAAGAGTATATTGTGAGAAATGACTACCGAAACCTTATTGAACTGTCTAAAATATTTTTGGGAGGACATCAAGAAAAGAAATGCTTATAAAAAGCTGAAATTTCATATAACAGTATATTTTAGCAATACTAATTAGTATATTAATATATTTAAGGGATAAAATCAACTAAATTATTGAAACAAATGATAGAAACAAAAGCAATAATATTAATTAGTAATCATATTTAATAAAATCATTAGAAAAATACACTCATGAAGTATATCTTCTTTTTAAAGTGTTTCGTGTTACAAATGTTACAAAATACCGCGCGCGCCTAACGTTGGCTAACGGAGGGTTTAGATGCAAGTCGGCACGGGTTCCCGTTTATAGAATGAGCTGAAATTTTTACTGGGAGTATATAAACAAGTAAGTATGGCCGACGGGTCGGTCGGAGCTTCAGAAGTGCGGTTCAGAATTGCGGGCTGAAAAGCCTTGTAAAAGTTGTAAGACCGTTGCTAAAACGGGCATAGTGTGTGCAAAGTGTGCTACAGTGGTACATTTTAGTTGTGCAAAGAAAATTAAAAAGTGCTGCGGCCTTACATTGGCCGAAAATGAATCCTCAGTAGAAGATGCCTTAAATGGTATAACAAGTGATAATATGCTGCTTTTAAAATTGCTCGTAACAGAATTAAGAATGAACAACAAATTATTGATGGAAAAAATGGAAGCCCAAGAAGTTAAACTGGAGGAAAAAGATACGCAAATTGAAAAATTACAATCTAAAATAAATTTTATGGAAAATAAGCAGTCATGCCGCCAAGGTAGGCAACCCAGTAAGCGAGTTACTATCAGGAAATAAATCACCAGGTTTAGCTAAATTCAAATCTCCCGCGATGTCAAAAACATACGCAGCGTGCGCCAGTGTGTTAACCTCACAAGATAAACTCAACGTAGTAAACAAAAATTTAAACAAACAAGTAAAAGATCAAGATCTATATGGTTTCCAAGCTCAGAAAATGAATGAAATTATAAATCTAGCTAGTGATCAAGTACCAAACAGTGAAACATCTAATATTACTTACAAAAAGAATCAAAACAAAGTAAAACCTAAAATAGGAACTGCAAATAATAATCTAACAGATTGTACATTTGCAGGACGTGAAGAGACAGGCAAAAAAGCGTGGTTATTTATATCAAGAGTAAAAGACAGTACAACAGAAGAGGATGTCAAAAAGTATGTATGCAACAAAACAAAAACTGAAGCAGACGATGTAGTTGTCAAAACAATTAGTACTAGTTACAAAAAGAAGGATAGTAAATGCTTTCAAGTAGGCATCAAATTCGAAATGAAAGATCAATTCATAGATCTATGGATCAATTATATGAAGACAATTTTTGGCCAAATGGCGTCACTTTTAGGAGATATAAGATTAATTTTTTAGAGAAAGATCTGAAGACCTAAATCAATCTTTCACTTTACAGCAAAAACATAAACAAACGTTCAGTATTATACTGGCAATCACGGAACACTGGAAGGCTGATTGGCAACTGAAACAACTTGTGCTGAAAAATTTTAGATTATTATCCAGTTTTTGCAGATCTGAAGGTACCCATGGAGGTTCGTGTATTTTCTTAAGGAATGATATGGAGGGTGTGAACATAAAAGAAGTAGAAAGCTTATCCTGTGTAAATGTCTGTGAATTGTCGGCAGTGCAAGTTAATTTCATGAAGAAAAAAGTGATTGTGGTTTGTATGTATAGGCCACCAAATACAGAAATTGACAATTTTTTAGAAATACTTGAAACTGTTTTAGATAAAGTATGTTATAATGACCAACATGTAATTTTGGCAGGGGACTTTAATATAGACTTAGCGAGCAAGTGTAAGAATTCTATGAAATTCTTGTCATTACTAAACTCATTCAATTTAACTGCCACCAATATGGAATACACAAGAGTTACTAACACATCAAAAACATGCATAGATAATATTTTCACAAACATTTCAAATTGTGTAAGTACTGTAATAGATTTACATGTATCAGACCATAAATTACTGAAACTAACATTTCAAAATATACTTCAAACAAAATATAAATATGTACGATCATTTTCAGAGCATAATAAATATAAGTTTAAATGCATGTTACATGAGCAAAATTGGGATGATATTTATAATTGTAATGAGTCAGATATTGACTCACAATGGATTTCATTTAATAGATTATTTAGTGTGCTATTTAATTATTGTTTTCCACTTAAGCGTGTAAAAATAAATGTAAACCGGTGTAAATATTACAAAAATAATCCACATATTAATGTGATAAAAAATGATTTAGATATATTGTATGTTCTGAGCACTTGTGATAATAGATATAAGGATTTGTATAGTCTAAAAAAACGCGAATATAATATAGCTTTAAAAAACGCTAGAAAAAGTCACTATTCTGAACAAATTAATAAATCTGACAACAAAAACAAAACTGTGTGGAATATTTTAAACACTATAAATGGCGGTAAAAATTCCTCCACATGTATAGCTTTAAATGGGGATCCCTGTAAAATATCTAACGATTTTAATAATTTCTATGTTAACTATGTACCTAGTCTATTAGAAAAAATCAAAAAGGTTAAATGTAATTTGAATGTTTCTTGGAATGTAAACTCAATGTATGTAAAGTCTGTAACTCCAAATGAAGTAATTTATTTAATAACTCAAATGAAAAATAAGCTGAGTAGCGGATATGATGACATTCCCAGCACAATAATAAAATACTGTTGTCTAGAATTAGCAACACCTTTGGCACATATAATAAATAATTCGCTGATGCATGGTATATTCCCTGAAAGGTTAAAGGAAGCGATAATACATCCAGTTTTTAAGAAAGGAGACATTTCGATGATTGAAAATTACAGGCCCGTTAGCTTACTACCTGCATTCTCAAAAATATTTGAAAGAGCGATGTGCACCCGTTTAGTTGGTTTCTTTGACAAGTGTAAACTCTTTAATCAAGGACAACATGGCTACAGAAAAGGAAAATCCGTGGAAACTGCATTGTACGACTATCTCAACAAGATACTGGAGTGTTTAGAAAATAAGGATGTAGCAATAGGAATATTTTTGGATCTCACTAAAGCTTTTGATAGTCTAAACTACAAAATCCTCTTCGATAAGCTGGAAAAATATAGAGTTAGAGGACAGACATTAAGATGGATTATGTCTTATTTATCAAATCGTTCGCAGAGAGTAGCCATATACAAAGATAGTAAAAAACACTTGTCAGAGAAACGACAGTTAAAATTGGGAATACCTCAAGGAAGTGTTATTGGTTCATTGTTGTTCATAATCTACATAAATGACATGGACAGTATCATAAAATCGCCTGATACATCTATGGTGAATTTCGCGGATGACTCGACACTTTTAATCAAGTCGGGAAATTTAGACCAGGCAGAGGCCCAGATCAATACGTTAATGTCCGACATAGACATTTATATGTGCCAAAATGAATTGATATTAAATAACAACAAAACCCATTATGTAGTTTTTAAAACACTAAGATCAAATGTAGTTAAACCGAATAACTGTAATTTTGTAGATTGTGTAAAAATGTTAGGAATTTATGTAGATGAGTATTTGTGCTGGGATGTATATATCGAAAACCTGTTGCCAAAACTTAATAGAGTGTGTTACTCGCTGAGAATTTTAAAAATGTATGTAAATATGGAAACCATGAAAATGGTTTATTTTAGTAATTTTCAAAGCTTATTAAGATTTGGACTTATATTTTGGGGACAAGCCAGAAATATTGAGTTGGTCTTCAAAGCTCAAAAAAGAGCTTTAAGATTATTGCTTGGTATTCCATATAGGGAAACATGTAGGACACACTTTAAAAGAAATAGGATCCTCACGCTACCTGGCTTATATATATTTGAACTAGTAATGTTTCTATTTAAAAATTACAGCAAATTTTGTCACCTAGAGCCAAAGTCTAGTCGTAATGTTTATTTACTGAACCCTAGTCATAGGCTAACTATATTTGAAAAAAGCTGTCAGTACTAGGCCATTAAATTTTACAATAAATTACCTGATAGTATAAAAAAAACTACAGAAAAAAGCTTTAAACCTAAATTGTTTGATTATATCTGTGATAAAGAATTGTATAGTATTTCTGAGTTTTGAACCGATTCATTTGTAGTTTGTTGACTTCTTTTCTATTTACATTGTATAGTTATATATGTATATATATGTATGTGTATTTATTGTACAGTGATATTTCTGAAAATAAATTATTATTATTATTATTATTATTAATAAATATAATGAGAGGGTATGCGTAAAAAAAATAAAAATAAGGGACACCCTAATATATATATATATATATATATATATATATATATATAATATAATATATATATATATATATACAGTGTGTTCCGCTTAAGACCTTACCACCCTCGTAAAATTTGCATTTTTCAACCGATTTTCGTAAACTTTTTGTTGTTGGATAGATCTCTGAAAAAGGCTTTAATCACATATGTCACTTGTTTTGACGACTAAACTCATGGCCAACTATGATCTCTTTTTGGGGTCGAAATTTCGAAAAGTACTACTAGGGATTTTTTCAGAGAAAAAGTAACCACGGATTATTATTCGGGACCACTTATAACCCCACTATACCAATTTTTATCGTTCTTAAATACTGGGTGTTCCAGATGGACGTTTTTTAATTTTTTGATAAAAACCTCGTAAAATTTGAATTTTTCAACTGATTTTCTTAAACTTTTTATGTTGAAAAAGACCTATTCGGGACCACTTAAAACCCCACTATACCAATTTTTATCGCTATTAGATACAGGGTGTATCAGCTGGACATGTTTTAATTTTTTGATAAAACCCTCGTAAAATTTGCATTTTTCAACTGATTTTCTTAAACTTTTTTGTTGAAAAAGGCTTATTTGGGACCACATAAAACCCCACTATACCAATTTTTATCGCTATTAGATACATGGTGTTCCAGCTGGACATGTTTTAATTTTTTGATAAAACCCTCGTAAAATTTGCATTTTTCAACCGATTTTCTTTAACTTTTTTTGTTGGATAGTTCCCTGAAAAAGGCTTTAAATGCATATGTTTTGGCGACTAAACTCATGACCAACTGTGATATATTTTTAGTTTATCGAGATACGTAATGAAACACTTTCCGTCTCGCATTCGGTATTACTAAAATATCCACTAAATGTGTTTAATTCGCGTATAAGTGGTCCCGAATAAGCCTTTTTCAACAAAAAAAGTTAAAGAAAATCCGTTGAAAATCCATTGAAGTTGCAAATTTTACGAGGGTTTTATCAAAAAATTAAAACATGTCCAGCTGGAACACCCTGTATCTAAAAGCGATAAAAATTGGTGTAGTGAGGTTTTAAGTGGTCCCGAAGAAGACTTTTTCAACAAAAAAAGTTTAAGAAAATCGGTTGAAAAATGCAAATTTTACGAGGTTTTTATCAAAAAATTAAAAAACATCCATCTGGAACACCCTGTATTTAAGAACGATAAAAATTGGTATAGTGGGGTTATAAGTGCTCCAGAATAATAATCCGTGGTCACTTTTTCTCTGAAAAAATCCCTAATAATACTTTTCGAAATTTCGACCCCAACAAGAGATCACAGTTGGCCATGAGTTTAGCCGTCAAAACAAGTGACATATGTGAATAAAGCCTTTTCAGAGATCTATCCAACAAAAAAAAATTTACGAAAATCGGTTGAAAAATGCAAATTTTACGAGGGTGGTAAAGTCTTAAGCGGGACACACTGTATATATTATATATATATATATTAGGGTGAGCCAAAAAAACTAACCTATCGGATTTATGGGTTAAAATGAACCTACATACCGAGCAAAAAATTTCCCTGCAAGGCAAAATTTTTTGCTCAATTTTAAAAGGTGTCGGTGAGCATTCCAAGTTTTCCATTGAAATAACACGTAAAAAAATCTTTTTTCATTAAAAATACTATAACTTTTGAACCGTTTGAGATAAAAATTTTTACGTCGCGGATTCTTGTAGAGCATAAAATTTCCCAAAGAATCTATACCAGGTTTATTTTTTTTAATTCAAAAATTCGTATGTTTGAAAGCTTTGAAAAGTGTAAAAAATCACTAAAACTGCAGTTTTGGACTGCTGTACCCGCCACAATAACCCAGCATTGTTTCTTATCATATCACAATGAAACGTGATTATCTGTAGAAGTTCCTCCCTAGTATCTATCGGAGTGGAATACACCAAGTTTTTTAGGTGTCTCCACAGAAAAAAATCCAT